ACCACCAGCACCAGGAACCAGGCCTCCAACACCACCAGCACCAGGAACCAGGCCGCCAAAACCACCAGCACCAGGAACCAGGCCGCCAAAACCACCAGCACCAGGAACCAGGCCTCCAACACCACCAGCACCAGGAACCAGGCCTCCAACACCACCAGCACCAGGAACCAGGCCTCCAACACCACCAGCACCAGGAACTAGGCCTCCAACCCCTCTTCCAGGCACAAGTCCTCTTGCTCCACCAGCTCCTGCTAAGGCAAAGCAAACATTGTTAAGAAAGAGACAGTTTTCTGTTCCATTGTGTAAGAGCTGAAGTTCTCCAAGGACGATATTCAGTTCAAAACATGAAGCCTGTGTGCTTTGTATTTCTCCTACACCACCATCTTTTTTTCAGCATGCTTGCAGGTGGCTACTTGTATTCTTATTATAGTGGTTTTTTTCTTTGCAAAATGAGGCTGCTCAATGATGCAGCACTTTTCTGCAATTGTTTGTGTCTCCCCCCCCCCCCCCAGAACTGTACTGCTAAATAATGCAGTGATATTCTCATGGGGAATTTTAGATCTGTGTATTGGACTAGGTATTTTGCCCTTCTGCTATCATACCATCTTATGCAATTTCTCCAGCTCCAAAGGAAAGCCAGATCAAAGGTTGGGCATTTCAGCTACTCCCCACACAATGCTTATGAGCCTCACATTTATAAATCTATTATCTGTCACTTAAATCAGTTGTACTGTATTCCTGGAAATTCTACAGTGTAGGCATAAAGCTTTTCATTTATAGCAGAAGAAAGCAAGTGTAGTGATGAAGGTTTTGGGCTAGGACTGGGGAGATCCAGGTTCAAGTCCACCAACAGCCATGGGTGATATTGCTCTAGTGACTCAGACTAACCCTCTTCAGGGGTTGTTCTTACAGCCATAAAACAAAGGGAGATTCTCATGTAAGCGTCCTTGAGCATTTGGAGGAAAGTGGGATAAGCTTACTGGTTCTAGCAGTAATAAGAACAAGCATCAACTTATTTGCTGGTTTCATCATCCTGCTTTTGACCCATGGTAAATACATAACTTTTGAGAAAGGTCTGGTGAATGTAGCTGCACTTGTATGGCTGTATTCACACACACACATATTCTATTTTTAAAGTCTGTGGTTCTGCATGATATGCTGAGCCACCAATGATCAATTATTAAACGATGATTAAGGAGAACCAAAGCCATAGATGGTGAGAGACAAAAAAAATCTGAAGCACCTTTTCTGACTCACACAGTTTATTAGCAGATACAAGCTTTTGAGAGCTGCATCACAGGCTCTGTGCCTCTGATAAAGTGCACTGCAGTTCACAAAAGCCTATGCCTGTTAATAAACTTATTCAGAAAAGGTGCTACCAGATTCATCCTGATTTTTTTCCACATAAACTAACATTCATACAATGTGTATAACAGGAAATAAGAGAGGGATCCAGGACAGAGTCCTCTTCAGATGCTATGTTCTCTCCAAAGGACACAGTCTCTTTAGAGCACAGCGCTGAGTGGTCCCTTTGTCCCAGTACTTCTAACTCAGTGAACAGATTTTTCTAAATTGTTGCCTGTGCTGGACTGAAGTAACCTTACCATATTTTGCTGCCTTGGCAGCTGCTTTTAGAGCAGCTGCAGAACTTCCTGGAACTGCAAATACAAGAAAAAATAAAGGTGAGGTCTTCATCAACACCTATTCTGCATAGTTCCCCAGTTCATCGCAGGATTGGAAATCACCCCAATGGCAGCCTAACTTCAGCTGAATAATCATGAAACCATGATTGCAAACTCTATATGAGTCAGCAGGGTGTTGTGGTTTCCCAAAAAGCAAACACAATTTCAGTCTTCTTTAGTAAACATAGTGTCCAATCTATGGGAATAATACTCAGCTGAAGTGTTGTACTAACTGTAGGCACCAAATTTTAAGGAATCAGAGGGTTCAGAATAGTTTCAGAAAAGGTCAACAAAGATAATAACCTGAAACAAAGAGAGATTGAAGTTGTTAGGCATGTTTCAGCCTTGAGAAAAAGAGCCTGGAGAGAAATTTGGTAGCATGCTTCAAATATTTAAAAAGCAACCACATAGAAGAAAATCAGTAAAACTTGTTCTCTTATCATTACAGACTGCAAGGACATGGAATAATGGATTTAAGTTAAAGGAAGGCCGTTTCCAATTGAATGTTGGAAAAACTACCCAAGAGTAAGAACAATTGAAGTGTGAAATACTGGTAGGCTTCCCTTCCCTGGATATGTTCATCCAGAAACTGGATGGCCACCTTTTAAGAGATGCTTTAACTTGGATTCTTGCACTGAGCAATGACTTATTTATTTAATTCATTTATGGAACAAACTTACATAGCTGCTCATCTGCCAGAAGCAATTCTGGGTGGCAAACAGGTTACAATGCAATTCCAATTCAACCCCTCACCTCCAATTTAACCTAAATGTTGATATGATCTAACTTGCATCCATAAATCCACCACCCTAGCTCCATCAGATCGGAGCTCCAAAGCCTAGGGGAAAAGCCAGGTCTTCACTGCTTTCCTGAAGACCAACAAAGTCTGTACTGTATCTGGGGAAGGGGGTTACATAAAACAGGCATCATGACAGAGAAGGCTTACTTCCAAATTCCCCCCCAAGTGACACTATTTCAGTCCAGAGCTGGACTGAATGACCTAAATATACAGAAATTTCCCCACTGTTGAATTAAACTGCTAACCACCCATTCTAGAGTTGACACAAAATGGTTGGTTGTGCTTGGTTGTAAGCCACCTAGAATTGACTCTTGGCAAGATGGGCAGCATAAAAATGCCATTGGAAGTAAGGCTGTGCTTTTATATTTCCTATATGCCTAACAATTTACCTAGTCCCAGTCCACCAGGTCCCAGTCCACCAGGTCCAACTCCGCCAGGTCCAACTCCGCCAGGCACAACTCCGCCAGGTACAACTCCGCCAGGCACGAGCCCGCCAGGCACGAGCCCGCCAGGCACGAGCCCACCAGGCACGAGCCCACCAGGCACAACTCCGCCAGGCACGAGCCCGCCAGGCACGAGCCCACCAGGCACAACTCCACCAGGCACGACTCCACCAGGCCTAACTCCGCCAGGGACAACTCCAGTTCCTGAGAAAAAAATATTGAAAAAAATAGTCTGATTATATGGACCAATTTGTGTTGCAATGAGAAAAGAAACAGATTGCCTATTTACCATATGCTGCTGCTTTTGCTGCTGCCTTAGCTGCTGCTGCTGCCGCTGCTGCTCCAGCTCCTAATGTGCATAGAAACACAGGTTACAGGACAGAATCCATACAGGCATGGAGCTCCCCCGCACCTGGGACTGCTGGCACCCCAGGAACTCCACCAATACCTGGGATGCCGATGCCACCAGGGATGACGCCACCAGGGCCAACGCCACCAGGGATGACACCACCAGGGCCAACGCCACCAGGGATGACGCCACCAGGGCCAACACCACCAGGGATGACGCCACCAGGGCCAACGCCACCAGGGAAGACGCCACCAGGGATGACACCACCAGGGCCAACGCCACCAGGGATGACGCCACCAGGGCCAACGCCGCCAGGGATGATGCCACCAGGGCCAACGCCACCAGGGATGATGCCACCAGGGCCAACGCCACCTGAAACCCGTCCTAGGAAAGAAATGAAATTGGAGTGGAAACTCAGCAGAAACTCAATTGGAGTGGAACTTGGTGGGAACTCAAAGAAGATTCACCAAAGTACTTGCCTACCAGCCATACTTATTCAGAAAATCCATGCAACATCAATGCTGCTGATCATCAGGACAGACTCAGGAGAGAATTGCCTGCATGCTACTATCTAATGACCATATTAGAGCAAAAACACTCTATATCAGATTGTGGTTCCCAAAGCACTAATCTCTCCATGCTCATTCTGTAATCCCATCACATACAGGATTCTATTCGTGGATATGTTTCCTCATGCAGGCAGTGACACAAAGTTCGAGGGAGGTTTCACAGGCTGTGTTTGTTGGCTCATCACTCTATCCCTCATATTTGTGGGATGCACAGGCACAGTGCCTCTGTTTGGGGAACAGGGATTGGTGGGATGCATAGGCTTATCCTTTTTATGGATGACCTTCTAGGTGAGAAATTCTCTTCTGTGACAATTCTGCTCAGTCTCTTTTTTTTTGGGGGGGGGGGGGTTCACTGATTCAAAAGATGTGTTTTATTCCTCAATATTTTCATTAATCTCATTGCTGCCCTTCCAGTGGTGGGATTCAGCTGGTTCGCACCACTTTGGCAGAACCGGTAGCTAATTTTTTGTTGCCCAGGCCCAGAATGGACTTCTGGAAGAGGCATCCACACAGAGAACCGGTTGTTCACATATTTGAATCCCACCACTGTGCCCTTCTATATATTGTATGTGTCAGTTTGATGTATGAGCCTGTTTGATATAGTGGTTTAAGGCACCAGGCTAGAAATCAGGATACCATGACTTCTAATCCCATCTTAAGCCCACAGTTAACTGGGACTCCTTGAACCAATCACGCTCTCTCTGTGTCCTGGAGAGGTGATTGTGCAGGTTCTTAGATAAAAATCCAAATAACGCCCCTTCCCCCCTCTACAGATCACAGAAGTATCACTGCATATAGCAACTACTTCCTGTATAAGTAGACATAGGATATATCTGGGCATTCAATCGATCCACGT